GGAGTGAAATCTGAATCCATTAATGACATACCCATCAAAAGTGACAACACCTTTCATTGGCCCACGTGCCAAACATAACAACTCTTCTGTAACTCTGGCATCCCTTTCGTTCCAAAGTTCGGTAATCTAATTTTCACAGTAAACAAGAAAATCATAAACGGATATTTTTCATTCAGAGCATAACCCCCCATCAACACGATCATCTATGCATTTCATGCTAACAAGTTCCGGTCCAGCAGAAAAGAGCACCATATTAATTGGAAACCATTTCTTTTTCTCAAATAAAAGAAAAACTCAATCTGAAAAAATCTTTGCTATAGAGATTCGAAAATGTAAGTACTATATTTTTCTTCTAAATATGGGTGAACTTAATTTTGCAGTATTAGTGTCATATTTGACCGTTTTTGGCAATTTACAGTTGTGGAGATAACAAGATTGCAAGGAGCCTAGCCCTTTTCAAAAATTTATAATCTAAATTTCTGGCACCACTCACTGTCAACAAATAAGTAATATTATCATTCACTTTGAATGAAAATGAAATTGCAATAATACCAAAAAAAAAAATGTTAGCCCAATAGATAGCAACCTATAAGAAAAAAATTATTTTGATATAGACATACTCCTATTGATATGAGCTCATCGTGTTGATGGGGGTTAAATTTATTTCCATAATTATTTGATATAAATGAAAAATATTCGCTTTATTATGTACCCTGTTCTCAAACCACTTGCAAAAGTTAGTCCTTCGAGGATCCAAATCAAGCTCATACTCACTAGACAATAAGAATTAAAAATACAATTAGTATACTTACATGTCAATGTATGAGTATCACACAAAGAGACTTACTCATAGAAAGGTTGTGCTTCATCACAATTTTTCAGAACATAGAGTCGAGCCTCTGTCCAGTCTTGAATAGTCAATTGCTTAAGATTTGTCTTCCCTAATGGTTTACCTGCTTTAGAGAAAACTGACAAACTATGTAGTTGCGGATGATCAATATCTTCATTTCTGTCTAGACAGTTGAATTTTGTCTCAATCTTTGACAAATATCTAGAGCAGAATGTCAAACATTCATTTTCAATATACCCCTCTGCAATCGACCCTTCTGGACAAGCTTTGTTACGCACATATGATTTAAATGTGCGCATTTGCCTGATATAATTAAATACAATTAGATAATAATGATATGATGAAATGAATAAACATAAATGTAACAAATATTGCACATAACTTACCTTTCAAAGCGATACAACCAACGGTAATGCACAGGTCCGGCCAATTTTGCTTCAGAAGCCAAGTGTATTGGAAGATGTAGCATCACATCAAAGAAAGATGGAACAAAAACACGCTCTAGCTTGCATAATGTGATAGCTATGTTTGCCTCCATTTTATTTAACTCATCTATCTTTAAGGTCTTGGAGCATAATTGCTTGAAGAACAAACTAAGCTCCCTTAAAGGCTCTAAGACTTTATCATCTAGGACACCTTGAAAGGCCGGTGTAAGTAAATCTTGCATGAAAACATGAAAATCATGTGTTTTCATTCCCAAAACCTTTCCATCTTCCAATGAGACACATCGTGAAATGTTGGAGGAATATCCATCCGGGAAAGCCAATTTTGACAAAAAGGTGACTATCTTTCTCCTTTCACCTAATGTCAAGTTGTAAGGTGCTAGTGGAACTTCATATTTCTCTCCTACTAACTTCAGTCGTAACTCTTCATGCATGTCCATGGATTCTAAGTCCATCCGAGCATTTACTGTGTCCTTGTTCTTATTAGGCAAATCAAGTAAAGTGCCTAATATGTTCTCACAAACATTTTTTTCAATATGCATTATATCCAAGTTGTGACGAACAAGAAGATGTCTCCAATAAGGCAATTGAAAGAAAATGCTTATCTTCTTCCATTGATGAACAATATATCGTTCACCTCTCTTACGCTTTCCCTCATGTTTTTTTCCAAATTCCACATTCGAGAATCCACTTAATTGATCCAAAACATCATACCCAGTAAGTGGGTTAGGAGGAGGACCTCTTTCAACAGTCTTACCAAACAATCTCCTATTAAGCCTCCATTTGTGATCAGGTTTTAAAAACCTTCGATGACCCATATAACACCATTTACGTCCATGCACCAATCGTTTAGAATGTGTATCTTTATGGCAATTAGGACAAGCAAGAACTCCTTTAGTGCTCCAACCAGACAAATTGGCATAGGCTGGAAAGTCATTGATTGTCCACAACAACACTGCTCGCATATTAAAATTCTCATTAGAATGGGAGTCATAAGTTTTTACCCCAACATCCCATAATTCCTTAAGTTCATCGATTAGAGGTTGCAAAAACACATCTATATCATTTCCTGGAGATTTGGGACCAGGGATTAACAAAGATAGCATCATGTTGTCACTTTTCATGCACATCCATGGAGGTAAATTGTAAGGGACTAACATCACCGGCCATATGCTGTATCGACTACTCAAGCTACCCCCAGGATTAAACCCATCACTAGCTAAGGCTAAGCGCACATTACGTGCATCAGCGGCAAAGTCAGGATACAAATCATCCAAAGACTTCCATGCTTGTGAATCTCTTGGGTGTCTCATAATCTCATCATATGAGGGATTCTCCTTATGCCATCGCATTTCTCTAGCTAACTTTGAAGATATAAACATCCTTTGTAGTCTTGGAATTAGTGGAAAATGACGCAAAACTAACCGCGGTACACGTGTTCCACTTCGGGTGTTGTCCTCATCATCGGAATGTTCATCATCTTGCAGAAGCTTCTCCTTCCATCTAGGGACCAAACATTTAGGACATTTATCTTCATTTACATACTCTTTCCGGTACAGAACACAATGGTTGACACAAGCATCAATCTTGACATAGTCTAACCCTAGCACTTTGTTATATTTTTTTGCTTCATAAGAACTTGCAGGAAAACTCTTGTCGTGATTAAATGCTCTATGCAATGTTTTCAATAACATTGAAAATGACTTGTCACTCCATTTATTGCTAACTTTAATGTGTAGCAATGTGATAAGAAATTCTAATTTTTTGAATGTCTTACACCCAGGATACAAGTCTTCCTCTAAATCTTCCATCACTTTGAAGAACTCCTTGGAAGTTTCATCAATGCCACCATTTGATCTAAGATCTGTGTTGCTTCTAGTATCATCGGGAACTCCGGATGTCGTGGAATTCCATATATTTGTGGCATCAAAAACTAATGGAGCCATATCATCAAATGGCATTTCACCATCCTGGGCATCCTCATTATCTGAAACCTCATCTAAGTATTCTTCTTCGCTACTGACATTTTTCTCCTCACTTTCTCCATGACTCACCCATGGATTATAACTACTATCAATGCCATGCACAAGCAAGTGACATTGCATAGTTTTTTTATCTTGGGGCAAAACCAGTCTACAGTTTAAACATGGGCATTTTAACATTGTTCCATCATTCATATCCTTGAATGCAAACTCTAGAAATGCATTTACACCAGCTACATACTCCGGTTTTCTCCTATCCCTTACCCCACTGTGATAAATCCAACTTCGGTCTATATTCATTCTTCAATCAAAATAAAACAAAATCAATAACAAATTAAATGAATATAAGTAATATGTAATAGCTAATGTGTGCTTATTTTAACTGAGATATGATGTTAAGTAAATAAGAAAAGTAGGAAAAGGGGTGAAATCAACCCATTTACTATCTTGAAAAAATAGTTGAAGCCCATGTACTTAAAAATCCATCACTAATGAAAAACAGTCGAATAAGTCATGCTAATTCACAGGGAAAAAGTGAAGTAAAAACTAAATTAGAAATTGTTGGAATAATAGGATGAAGAAAAAAACATAAGAAATTGAGAAAGAAGAAAATTGAAGGAGAAAAAGGAAATAAAAAAACAAGTGGCTGGATGCTTCAAGGAAGAAATAAGGAAAGAGAAAAGGTAAACTTACTTTTCCAAAAAAGTAACAAAGTTAGAATATAAGAAATGCACTGTTAAAATATTAAGAATAGAGGTTCATAGTTCATTTGTCATGTGTGCACTACTCTAATCCAGCATTGAAGCATATACCAAACCAGAAAAACTGCAAGAAGAATGTTAGTGGAAGGGTGAATATGTGATTTTTAGAGAAACTGCAAGAAGAATGTGAATAGCATTGAAGCATATACCAAACCATAGAAGGGAATTTAAGGATTTCATTGACACAATACTTTGAAAGCAGAACCAAACTGCCAAGTTGGGTTCTGTACGTACTTGAGTCTGGAAACTGAGCAAAAAGAAAAAGGGACCAAGGCAACGAATCTGCTACACTATATGTAAAGCATAAAACAAAGGCAAACAAAAAGACAAACAACATATTTTATTTCTAATTGGAAGTGTCGTTAAACTCCATCATTTCAGCTTCATTCCATGTGGTAAAACCGTTTGGATCAGTGACTACTAAGAATATTAAGAAAATCAATAATTCAAAAAACCACATAGAAATCATAGATGAAAATCAAATACTATTGCAGCAAATAACCGAAAATTCCGATCAAATTAGTCATATCCAATTAAAATCGAGAACAAAATTGACTAAAATCAAACTAACTCACAAATTTATCAAAAGCTATTGTGGTTCTATTAGAATCATAGTAGGAAGTCGGGCGATAGCCGACTGATATGCACAAATACCACGGAGACACAGAGTACTGATTGATTCAATTAGAATCATAGTAGCAAGCCGATAGACGACTGATATGCACAGATACCACGGAGACAATGGAGAGTTTCAGTTTAACTTACCTGAAGTTTGAATCCTCTGAAACACGAAGCACGGATGGGAGAAAGGTATCGGAAGCAGCTGCTGTGCCAAGCCGTTCGTGACGCGTAAAACCTCAGAAGCATCAACCAGAGTTATGTGATTGTTCGTGTGATTTTCCAGATGTTTAGCACTTTAGCCGAATAGTAGCTGCTAGACTTTTTTAAAAAATTCGGCCTAAATGTTTTGAATAGCTTTTGTAGTTTTGTTGCCTATTTTTCCAATAAAGGCAACGAGTTAGGTTGAAACTTGTTGCCCATTCTACATCAAAGGCAACGAATAAAGTTAAAAATTGTGGCCCATTTACATTTTGGGCAACAATAGCTAATTAGTAGCTCTAGAATAATTTCATGGACATCGAAACACGTAAACTATGGCACATGATATAGTATAGGCCACAACTCTAGAATTCATGGTAAAAAAATAACTATTGTGCAACAAAAAAAAAATTGATGTCATTTAGTGTAACATTGTGCAATGAATTTAATTATTGTCGCCCATAAAAAATAAACTTGTTGCCCAAAGTTATTTTTCTTGTAGTGCCACTTTCATCCTTATTCTGTGCCTCATAGTTCTTCATTTTGGCCTACAAATAATAAAAATGGCTGGGAATATAAGTTGCAAAGTTAATAGCTACACTTAAAAGTTGCACTTCAAAACTACACAAAAACTACACTATTTTGCAGTGGTAACATCACTTAGAAACTGCATGCACAAATTTGCAGCAACAAAGCTGCACTTACTAGTTTGTAAAGAACTTATAAAACGACATTCTGTATACAAGAGTACAAAATATTCAACACCCCAAAACAGCTCAAAAATCTAGGCAATCACATAGGATCAAAATAACCAATCTAATATTTATTAGTAGAACAGTAACCTCGTATATAACAACATCAAATACAAGTTGCTACACCTTGTAGTAGATACTCTGTAATACAAGTACTGCATTTCACCCAAAATTATCACATCTAAGAATATATGCAATTAAACAATGATAATCTATATTAACAACCCTGCTTCACAATTGATTAAAAAATCAAAATTATACTCTGTAATACAAGTACTGCATTTCACCAAAAATTATCACATCTAAGAATATATGCAATTAAGCAATGAAAATCTGTATTAACAACCCTGCTTCACAATTGATTAAAAAAATCAAAACTAACAACTCACCACACTGTCTTTCAATGACTATGATTCAAAAGTATAAGACCACATAAGACGTACCACTTTTGCAGCAGTATCTTCATTACACTCTTTGTAGTTGCGGCCCTCAGTCCTTTTACGTGTGACTTCAAACATAGTTGACAAAGGTATGTCATTACAATTTGGAAGGGTAGTTTCCTGGGTAAAAAAACAGTTATGTATACTTTTAAATTAAAACTCAATATATATAAATATGTACTCTAAATACCAATCTTTCCCGAATCCTCGCAAAAGACTCACGACCAGCTGTGTGATTGTCCTTCTGGAAACTACGACTGCGCTTGTTACGGGAACATTTTGCCTAGAAACAAAATATTTATTCATAATTATATAGTGTAAAATGTTAGGAAATCGAGATACGCATTTATATGTATTTAACGTACTTGATAATCTTTACAATTCCATCGCTTTAAAAGAGCTCGAAAATCACTTTGGGGAATGTCTTTTGGGCGGTGGCGCCATCTCGTCATATTATCCTTATATGTTTTGCAAAACTTTTCCTTGAATCGACACTTGTGTACCCTCCATGCAGACCCCATTGTACTTAAGACCCATTTTTTTCCATGTATGGGGACATCATATTTTGACTGAAAAAAGAATAATAGTGAGAAGTTAGTAATATGCAATTTGATATACTATAATATCTGATTATTACCATAACATACCAATACATATTCCCACATCTTGTTTTTGTTTTCTACACGGGTCCACGTTGGAGTAACTAGTGGAGCAAAGGCATAATGACGAGCCACTGTTCCCAAAAATGATGAAAACTGATCCAGTGTGGCTTTATCGGGCCCAATAGGTTGTCCAAATTTATTTAATATGATGGATATACGATGTTCTCTCACGTGTACTGCATGCATCATTGTAGGACCTCTTTTTTTTCTTTCGTGTGCCACAACATCTGTAAAATACATCATAAAATTTTTATCAAGGAAACAAATATATTGATGAAAATTAACTGAATAATGCAATTTTTAATGCCAAGAAGAAGAAGAAGAAGAAGAAGAGAAACCATAAAATATTAGAAGAAAAAAAGAAAATGCACTTACTTGATCCTTCATGCATTTCATTACCGTTTACCTCAACATCATCATCATCATCATCTCCAATTAATTGACCGTGTTCTATAAAATCATCTGCATTTTCTTCTTCTTCGACGAATTGATCCATCATAACATCATCATCATCCCCTTCTTTAGATTTATTTCCACCTACACAAAGTACTTAGGTTATAATTGATAGGCCAATTGATTAACAATAAAATAAAACTTGAAATTCATACCTTGTGCACTGTCTGACTCAATGCTATCAAAAATGTCATCATCTTCCCATGAACTAAAATCCATTTTTCCTTGCACTATATTATCATGTGTGAATCTTTAAATATTTATGAATTCAAAAGCAATAAAATAGGAATCTAGAAAAAGTATTAAAACTGAACCTTCATTTTCTGGAGATAATTGTGGTTCATGGTTCTCCTCTTGAGATTTGTATCTTAAAAACTCAGCCATATTAATAACTGCATCTCTGGGTGGACCCTTGTTTTTGTTCTTCTGTGTTGTGACTTCTTTTGCAGATTGATTTTGCACCTTTAAATCACTTTTTGGTAGGCCTTGAGGCTGTTTATTCCTTAGAACTCTAGTGAGTGACTGGGGTGAGATATACTGTTGCTTTTTCTACAAAATTGAAAACATTACCGTTACTATGTTTAAGTAACACATTATAACATCAAATATATGTAAAGTGTACCTTTTTCAGAACATTTGCACCTTCAACCATCTCTAATGAAGTAATTTCTTCAGCAGTAGGAACATAATTAGGATCATTCCTCAGATTCTCTTTTCTCTTTCTCCCGTTCTGACTATCCACCATACTTGATAGTGAAGAACATATATCAATAAGTTTTAATTTGAGCATCATTTCCTTATTCTCACGAACTCTGAGTAAACGTTGTTTCTCATATTCTGACATATTGTCTCCAAATGTAGTTGATGTTCGCTTTGATGCTAAATTCCTTGGCACATTATGCTTTTTTGTTTTGTCCATGTCTCTGTGAATCACAAATAAGATATATCAGCTGGAACACTTTTTAAGTTATATGTATAAGTACATTATCTAAAGAAAACACTCATATACACAAAGTAAAACCTACAACAGAGAAGGACCCAATAGTAACCCTCCTTGTGAACATACCGTCTAAAGAGATGCTTTGATCCATACAATCATAAAAGTAATACTTCATAAGAAAAAATAATGAATGCATCAAAATACACCAAAGGGATACAACTTTTCAAATTAAAACAAGAATAAATTAATAAATAACCCAAATCATTTAAGAAACAGTTTCAAACAAATAACAACGCAAGGAAAAATCAATGGACATGTTATAAAAAGCAATGAAAAGTAGAATAAAGTTATTGCTCTTCATCACTAGCATGCATCCAATCCCATAGCGTATCATCGTCTTCTTCTTCTTCGGATTCACTTGTGATGCCCGTGCTTGATTGTCCAACATTTACTGTCTCAACTTGAGCATCAAGTATAGTTGGATCAAGATCTTCTCTGGCTCCATTAATATCATCACTGGAAACATATGGGAAATTCTGAGCTCGATGATCTATAGGCTCTTTCCAGTAGGTAATTTCATCATCTTCATTTATTTGTGTCTCCGAATCAAAGAAACCTCTAGGAACTCTTTCCATAACGTATGATAGCTCATTATAAACGGGATCTGCCACATAAAACACCTGATGTACTTGTGAAGGAATCACAAATGGATCATCTGACGAGCAAAATTTTGTGGAGTTAATGCATGTAAGCCCATATTTATCTTTTTCGGTTTGGTACCATTCACATCTGAACAACACAATCTTGAACTTTGACCAGTAATTTAATTCAATTATATCTAGTATTGCACCGTAGTAGACGACATCACCAGTGATGGGATTCTTGTCTTTAGAACTTGCAAAACTGTTTGTCATGGCAGTTACAGTTACTCCACTATTCTGGGTATTGCATCTTTCATCACGATCTTTTGTATAAAAGTGGTACCCATTCACAGAATATCCGGTATATCTCTTCGCACTAGGACATGGTCCCTTTGCTAACCAAAATAAGTTGTCTGACACGGAGTAATGTGCTATATTATCCTTTAGCCGTAGGAACATAATTAGGATCATTCCTCAGATTCTCTTTTCTCTTTCTCCCATTCTGACTATCCACCATACTTGATAGTGAAGAACATATATCAATAAGTTTTAATTTGAGCATCATTTCCTAGTTGTCTTGAAAAGTAAAAGACGAATTGTGAAAGACAGAATTGTAAAGTTTTTACATCCGGGATACAATTCTTTCTTTCCCTCCTCCAACAAACTATAAAATTTTTTTGCATCTTCATTCATCCCCTTTATATTTTCGTTTTCATGAATCCCTTTAAATCTGTCTTCTAAGAGATCACTAATATTGTCAGGCAAAACTGTATCACTTTCATTCTCAAGACCCTTTGAATCAACAAACATAGGTCCCTCTCCATGAAAGTTCCACTTGAAATAATTTTCCACAAACCCCTTTGCTATTACATGATTCCACACTTCATCTCTACGATACCAATAACGATTTTTACACTCTTTGCATGGGCAAGGAATTTGACCCCCACGAGCTACTTTAGCAAAAGCTTTGTCAAGGAAATTGGCCAAACCAGTCTTGAATTCTAATGAAAGTCTACGTGTATACATCCAAGTTCTATCCCTCTCCATTACCTTAAACTTCAATAAATTAGATAAAATAAAAAACACATAAGATAAACCAGTCACAAATTTTTCTTATGTATATAAAAGTAATTAAATTCAAGTTCTCATCAAAGGAAGTAAAAAAGAAAAAAATCAAAACCATTATGAACTCTGTAAAAAAACTGCACAACAATAAGAAGAAACTCACAAACACAATTTATATATAATATTTCTGTATGACTCAATTACTGATTAAATTAGCAAAAACTATTATTGTTTGCATTAATAGATGGAATGAAACAACATCACATGAAAAGCAAACAACAAAGCAAGTATTGAAGCTATCTGTACTATGAAATGGAGAGCACATAATGGAATTATTATTGTTATTTTTATTATTTACTTTCTTACCATCTGAATACTTGAGATTTTAGTAACACCTCTACCTTGATCAAATTATGAAGCACTACTAAGGTATATCCAAGTTAGATAGGATATTGTTATTGATTGACATATAAATATTTTTACTAAAGGAAAGTCTCAAATATACTGTTATTGGGGGAGATTTGGACATCTAGTCAAATAAAGAATAAGTGATTTAGCATACATAGTATTTGAACCAAATCGAAGCTAGCTAGTGTACTTATTTTTCCCTTTCATATAAAGAATACTTTGTTTATCATTTAACTAAAAGTAACAATGAAGAATATTACAAGTATTGTGACTAATGACTATTATTTTTTTTTTGGTTTTTTAATTTTCGTAGAATTATGAGTGAGGATGATGAAAATCATGGAATTTAGAAGATGTGACTAACAAATCTAGAGACAAAAGAGGACAGTAATGAAAAATTGAAAAGCTTTGAGTGACCGTACTTATCAACCCTGCTCCACTAGCTTTAGGTGCTAATTTTTTTGCCAATCTATTTTTTCTCTTAATTTTACTAGAAAAGTTTTAATAAATTATTTGCCTTTATTTTGTTATCGTTTTTATTTTACTCAATTTTTTGATTGCTTTGTTAAAAGCTAATATGTTTACTTTCTTTGGATGATAACACCTTATGTTTATAAGTGTGAAGGTTCAAAAGTAATATGTTTGAGTGACATTATTCATTTGCTTATTGGAGGTATGACCTGGAGGAGGGTTTATAACAGGGGTGGGTTTAGTTGCTTTGGTTCAGTTTTCACCTAAAACCGAACGCATAACCAAAGGAAAATGTTCGGTTTGGTTTATTTGATAAAAAAATTCAACCACGGTTTGTTTGATTCGGTTGGTTTCGGTTCGGTTTTGATTTTTTTTCGGGTTTTTTAAAAACCGAATGTTCATTTTTGAAAAGGAGAGGAAACATCGGGGCATGAAAATATAACAACATAGTCTAATAAATGACAACACATTAAAGTTGCAGACCTGTAAATTAAACCATGAACACCAAAACTAGGAACCAACTCTTTTAAAAATCACTAAAAGCATGCAAATTCCTCTCATTAAATTTAAACTGCCTTATTGGGAGCAACTGACTTACTGTGATGCCTTAGAATTTTAACATTAAAGTTAAACTCCCATGCCTCAGAAGTCAAAACCCACTCTTTCAAACTGCTTTTTAACAAAATTCACCAAAACTAAAACATTAAAGTTAAACTGCCATGCCTTAGAACTCTAAAGCTAGTGCAAATTCCAGCATTCTCAACCATTAAAAACCTTCAAAAACTCAGAACTCCGGGGAAAATCACTAATGAGAATCCGTAAATCAAAAACAAGTGTTTAACTTTGTCAACAAGTATTGATTAAGTAGAGAAAATTATAACTTTTATCAGATTCCCACCTTAAGCAACTGAGAGAGGATGTGACATAAAT